TTCAACAGGCAGAAATCTGATGAAGCAATTAACAAACCGGGAACACTTACAAAGGTTGGTGATCGAGGGCCCTAGTTCCTTGACTGAGATATATCGGACAGTGTCGCGATGTCTAAAGGAGATAGCACTTGTATTTGAGGAAGAGGAGCGGCGGCTCCTCGAATTTATGTTATTCCAATCAGAACCTCTGCTGCCGGCGCAGGAGAGCTTGGATTGTTCGGGCGAGGATGAGCTGCAAAGAGAAAGTCCAGTGAAGCGCAGCAACACGACAAAGTTGGGGCTTTCAGAGGCAACTAAGAAAACGGTTCCCGGCATCGCCACGAGCCAGCATGTTGCCATTGTGCTAGATTCAGACAAAGCCAATTGTTCAGAGTCAACAGGACAGAAGGGATCTATCCTCCGGCCGAGGCTACCAACTCGGGAAATGCCAGTTTCAACAGAGGTACCGCCTACTTTGGGCAAAGCTACGAGGGCAATAAAGTCATCGGAAGAAACCTCGTGTGCAACAGAGAAGAGTTGCCAAAATGTAATGCAGCTCCGCGTTCTTGCACTGCACAGGACTATGGCCAGACTGCGCAGACTCGCGATTGCTGCGGCAACAGCGGTTTCCTTAATCCAATGTCAACCAGAGACAGACACAGACTGGCTCTCCAGGCCCAGGGAGTTTCTACCGGGAGGGGTGCGCTTGGAGATAGCTGCTGATGTGGAGGCTTTGTGCGACCGAGCTGCGGCTGCCGGTGGCACCGGATGGCTGATCACTCCAGAGAGGTTGGCACAAAAATGATTGTTTCCTTTTAGACTCATCAGAAAGAGACAAGTTTTATTAGGAAGAAGAAGATTTTTTTTCACTGTTCTGTAAATACAGCAAGCAAATGGTGTATTTTCGGGGACAGAAGGCCTTCATATGGAGCCTATCTTAAGTTAAGCCATCACAACTAATGGTAGCATTGGAGATTTACGAGATGCCATCTCTTTATTAAGTCGCCTAAGTTGATGTGAGGTCGGATAATGGAATTTTAACAGTGTTGAGATATCATGAGGCTTACTTATTTGATTGTGGCAAGATGTCATTATCAATCTTTAAATCACCATAGTTATAATTCAAGGATTGTGGATAGTTTTGAAAAATATCTACATCAAAAATAAAGGGCGTCATGGTATGCAATTGCAAGAACAAATTTGCATTATCAACATTTATACTCCAAGATGTGATTTGGGAGAGGCCTGGATTGCTATGAAAATCATATGTGCAAATTGAACCATTGTCACATTCGTATGACTACCAGAATGGTAGCGGGCAGCACGATGAGAATGATCCTGTTTTGAACCCAGTGGGGGTGATGGTGAAGCTTTTTGAGCGGCAAGGGTAAATAGGATTTGCAAGGTTCCCATAAGGTCTACACATTTTATTGTGAAAAAACACCTTATCAGTCTTCATACCATTCTAAATGAACTAGGATGACTAACTTATCATTCAAGAATCACTGATAGCCTTGAATGTTCAAACTAATACCATAACGACATAGCAATTGGCGACGGCAGAGGATCACTTCTAAATAAAGGTCGCTTATTCTAGCATTGACAAATCTAAGCTGAAATAGAGCAGTCGTTGCAATGGTTGATTAGATCATCCGATATCTTCTGCCAAGAGCATTCCAGAATGATTGAGTTAGATGGAATTTTAAAAATATGCATATATAGTAGGTTTTGGTACTTCCAAACCTTGAAAAAGAATGGTACCCTATTTTGTTCACATTGTTGGAAAGTTCGACGATCACCTTATCAATTTATGCGACCTATGATTAATACAGTTGGCAAACAATCTTGCACATTTTAGGTGATCCGGAGCCATTACTGCATCAGAACTACTGCTCGAACTTGCCTATTGGGTTAATGCAAACTCCTTTATTGCATTAAGTATTGTTTCGAGACTATGTATTCGCCCAATTTCGTTTAAGATTATTTGCAGTTATGGAAATAATACAATAGTAAAGTAAAGCTCCTACGATGGTTTGAACGAAACAACTCAATTCTTTTTGTAACTATAATTCGCAGTATGGGCTAAGCTCCAGATTCGACGAGATAGCAAATAATCGCTTAAATAAGAGCTAGCATCATCCTATGTCGATAAATATGATATAAATACTGATAATTAAGATTTATCACAATGAAGTAAGTTTGGCTCACAGCACATCTTGAAAGCTTTTGCTTCAGGCTGCTCTAAAATTTAGAATCCGCCTAGATCGCATCATCATTTGCAGAGAGATTTACATCGCGGTGGGACTTTACTACAAATGCCAGTGGGTCACAGGCCCGAGTTACCTTCCACAGCAAGCCAGATCCCTCCAAAATTGCATTTATAAACGGAACATTACTGAAGTGAACCTTTATTTTCTATTAAAAACGAAGACATTAGTCATTTTTGGACCGAGTAAACTTCCTGTGAGTTTGTAAAATTGGTTGCTCAGCAGATAATTTCAAAGAAAGATAGGCTAGTAAGTTTTGGTGTTGTATCTGCGTGCACAAATATTACTGTTCAAGGAGCCATTCAGGCTCTGGTGCAAACTACCGAGTAGCATACAGAGACTACACAAGCCTCGATATTTAGACTTCTTTAGCTATCCATGGGAAGCATTTATTTTGCCGTTGAGCAGGCACAAGGACTTGCAATGGGATCGGGCTTAGCTACCATTTTGGCGAGCAGCTGGATGGCCAAACTTCAGGAACACTTATTGGTAAAGGTGACACTAACCCCTACATTGTCGGTTAGATACATTGATGACTATTTTGTCATCTGGCAGCATGCTAAGGAAAGCTAAGACAATTTCCTACTTTCTCTTTTCACTTAACCAACGTGAAGTGAATATGTCCTTACATTTTTTTGGATATTCTGGTCATTAGAGAAGAGAGTAAGTTAGGAAGAGATTGAAGATATGAAGAACACGATAATGTGGCCTCTGTTATGGTCGCAGACTCCTTTCGATTTATAGAAGGGGATTAACCTCGTTGTCGCAACTTGGTCTTGTTGTCAGGGCAACTTAATAGAACGTACCTAGTCCGAAGTCGTCTGCCATAGTAGTTGTCATGATTCCCAGCATTAGACAGTGTAATTGGTACATTCTCAAACGTTTCGCCGGCATCTTAGTCGGTAGCATCAGTGAGTTTTGCCATTCTCCGCACCAAGCAACGAACTCGTCAAAGAGACAAGTTAAATCAATCCCTCGAGAAATGTTCTGCCGAAAAAGGTTACACAATAACTCCTATTTCTGTCCTGGCCTATCTATCTACTCTTTACCCTCATATCCCACTGGATAGGCCAGGACAGAAAGAGGAGTAATAGTGTAACTGTTTTCGGCAGAAGGGTTGTCGAGGGATTGACTTCACTTGTCTCTTTGACGAGTTTGTAGCTTTGTGCGGTGAATGGCAAAACTGACGAATGATGCGGA